GTCATCTGAAGTGGACACACAATATCCAGTGCAAGTCGATCTACGTTACATAAATCGCATTTTTTACAACAATCTTCTAAATCTCAGCGGAAATTAATCCAGTAAAATCTGTCTGGAACTCTGGCAAGTGTTCTGTTGACTACAAAATGTCATCCAGAAAGGTTGCTATGAAGTTGCAACACACTTTGAAATGTGTGTTTTTTTCAGCACCAATTGTTGAACTATACGTACCCTATTGGGGCTTTCCCACTTCCACTATGATAAACCATTGTAGATATTCCTATTGAGTCCAGTACGTCTTTGTAGTTCCACTATTTTTGGTAATTTCTTGCTAAATAAATCTTACTCTATTTTTAAACCATTCTAGTATGACTTTTAAGTCATTATCTTTCTTTTGACTTTTTTAAGGCTTACTTGATCATTATTTTCTTCTTGTTTAACCGAGGTCACTTACTTTTTCGCTTACATTTTCTTTTTCTTCAAGCTGACACTGGCTTTGAACCTGTAATTCGTTTAATGCATCTTGAATTTCTTGTAATTGTTCATTTAACACATTCTTCTTCTTCACTAACTGCTCGCATTTGTATTCCAGTTCAGACTGTGTAGTTTTTGTGTGATTTCGCGTTACATTACACTCCTCTTGCAGAATTGACACCTGTTATCTTAACTTTTCTATTTCATTTTTGCTAATTGCTAGTTGCTTCTTCAAATAAGGAAATTCAGGTTCCAGAGTAGATATCTTTTTCCTTCAGTTGTGGGAAATTTCTTAGAGACCTATATCTACTAGTATTTCTAATAGGACTATTTGACGGTCTTTTGGATGTGGATCTAGGCGGCCTACTGGTCCTATTCCTTGGTTCTTCTTTGATTGCTGGGATGGCCTTCTGCAATTATTTTGCAAATATCTGCAATTCTTTCGCTTCTGTTTTTATTTTACGATTTTTGTTGAAAATTTTGCAGTATAGTTCAGTAACATTTGGGATAAAATAGGTTGTTGGTTATCTGCGGTATTGACTTTTTTATTTTATGAAATCTTGTTTCTGTTAATTTTGGGTGAGATTTGGAAACACTTTTCGCCGCTTCATACTCGTGGGCTGCGATTAGTCATCTATTTAGATTTTTGGGATATTGTAATCAGAGAGCTTGTTACAAATGAACATGCTGTATACCATCTAAGAATTCCTGTATACCAGTTTGTTCCAGAAAATCTTTGGGTATCTGAGGGTATGCCATAAGCAATAATCTTTTAATATCGCTTTCAAATTCGTGCAGGTTTTCGTTATGTTTTTGATATTGAACTTTCAGCTGACTTTGGAAACCTCGTTTTAGATACTGTTGGATCTATATCTATATAGAACTGGGCGCATCTATATTTTAGTGTTTTGAAATTCTTCATCACTGGTTTGTGATAGTATGTTGGGGATTATTAGCTATATCATACAAACTACTATCAATCATTTTTACATGGTGGATATACCTACTCATTCCCTTGCTAATTAAATATTAAAATACATTATATTTTTAAAAACTTAGCTTTTCAAAATTATATAAAAACCAATGAATATTGTTTTGTATAATAAAAATCTATAATAACCCGTGGTATTACTTTACAGCAACCATTGAGTATTTATTTACTAACTTCCAACAGGTTATTAATGACCTATGGAAAATAAACATTAATTATAATTGTATTTTTGGGAAATTAATTAACAAATCCAGATTTTGTCGACATAGCAACAGTATCCTGCCGCCGTACCACCCTCAGAATCCTCGCAAACACAGCAAGGAGAGAAATTTGTCACTAACGAACTCCCTTCTCCCCATGGAAACCTCTGGATATTCTGGATTCGCGATGATCCGGGGGAGGCAGCGCCTGGCACGGAAGAACTTCAATTCGCGCTCGGCCCCAATCCCGCCAAGCCCGGGGGTCCTGTTTGTAGAGGTAGATGCAAGAATAGTAGAGCGGCTTGTCTATCAAAAAAATATATATAGGTACTGAATTAGATACAGAATTATTGTTTATGTTCAGAAATATGCTTCGTTTTTACCAAATATATTTATGGAAGATAAGAACAGATCTCATTTTTCAAGAAAATGTAAAACACAAAGGTTGGTGGATGTATTTTCCATATATTTTCCAACAACATATTATACAAATTCTCCTTCTTGCTCTTTATTTAAGGCTAAGGCATTTGATGTCTATTATGGCGTCAAACTTTGTTTCATCTTTTCAAGAGGCGTCGTTAATTTCTTCTTCCTTGCGATTTGTATTAACAGTGATAATAATGCCGGTTAGTTTGACCGTACAATGACTTTCGTTTTTACAGTCGTCTTTTTAAAAAGTGAAAGAATTTCTGCCCTTTGCTACGTTTCTAGAATTTTGAAGTCCCATCACAATGATTCAGCATAATATGTACCATTCTTAACCTTCCGATAGGCGCGTCTACCACAGTAACTAGAACGGTCGCGTGTATCTCGGACACAGGCGTATTTAGTTATATTTTAAGTAATAATTAAAAATAAAATTAATATTATAATATTTGGAACGCTGGTGAGTATTTACCCTGGGCGATTGCAAGGCGTCTTTAATGTTTGTTTTGCTCGGTTGTTCGAGCCTGTTATGGTTCGAAGAACATTATGTCATTTAAGAAAATGATGTCATTTACCGAATAAGCAAGATTCCGAGGGGAAAGCCGATGATAGTACACCATAACCGGCTGGCGTCTTTCGAAGGTGACCACGACGTAGATGAAGAAGTGGAAGTAAACCAAGTCCAAGATGTGTCTGACCTCACGTTTGAGGAATTCATGGGTGCCTATGGATGTACCGGTAAAGCAAGACATGGTGTTACCACTTAAGAAAGGCAAGATCTACTCGCGCTTCCCGATGACTACTCACTGGCCCTTACTTATCTCGGCCAGTATCAAAGACGCACCAGGGTTGGCATCCGTCTTTCGAAGAAAGTTCGGTCGAGTTGCAGAACTTCAATGCCAAGTGCCAGCTCCCGGTAAAACCTTGAAACTTCAAGATGCATCATGTTACTTTTTCTACCTGGTAACAAAACACACTGCCTGTGACCAACCTACCTACCGAGATGTATGGGAAGCCTTACTTCAGTTGAGAGAGCACGTACTAGAGTCCGACGTACAAAAGTTAGCCATGCCAAAGTTGGAGTGCCGCCAATTAGATTGTAGGGTTATACGAAATATGATGGAGCAGATCCTTAAAGACACCGAAGTCCAGGTGTTAGTCTGTTAAAATCCGCATAGTTCCTGGTGCGGAGAGAAAACCGTCTCGTGTCATTTTTATACAACTGGAAGTTGTAAAAGTGGGTCCAGCTGCCGATACCAGCATACCGTTCCAGTTCCAGTCCCGACAAGGTTCCAGGAGGAACCATCTTTTAAGTGACTAAAATGATCACCTAATGGATGGTACGTCATCGATGCATCGCCAGACCCTTCTAGATAGCGGCATTTCATTTAAATAACGGTGATTCTCATTGAGGATAGTTAGTTTCGAATCTACTTCACCCAAAAGAAAAAATTCTTCAACCACATTTCGAGAGCCTCAAGGCTACACACTAGTTAAACTTAACCTTATCTTGTACAGCAAAAAATGAAATTAGATAGAGAAAATATTCTTTTTTATAGAAAAATATTTACAGAGGGAAATACCGTTACCTTGGTGTGTAGTCAAAAATAGGCGGAACCAAAATTTACCCACTAACGGGATTATTTCGGCACTGTAATTGAAGGGATTATTTAATATATGTGCAAACGATAAGCCACCGACAACAACGATATAGGTAGTTCTATTTTGAGAGAAAATCCTACAGAAAGTAAACTGAATGTACAGGGTGAACAAAATTTAATAAAATAACAAAAATTTTAACAAGATGTATTGTATCAGAATTTTGACATGTTACAATATTGTCACTTTTGTCTAGCAGAGTTCACCATTATCTATTTGTATAGGTGTTTATGATTTGGATAACTCAATATTAGAATTTTAAATGCTAGGAAATATTCAAGTGAGTTTATGTACGTTGTGTGAACAAGCTTCTCCACTATTATCACTTTTAACGAACCTCCTTTGCCTCGTTGAATATCGTATGGTACACTATCATCTTTGATACGCCGTGATAACGTGAAATATGATCGCGACGTTGCTGAGGGAAAACCGACACCTGACGTATTCCGTATTTCACTTTAAGACATATCCCACTGCTGAAAACGGATCCTGGCGATACCGCCAGCGGTATTGGGGTTGTTTGAGCTGGTGCTTACCTCAATCGCAAGATTTATAAAAGAAATTTCAGACGTTTCAAATATTTACCGGATGTATAAAAGGAATTGCGCATCGTACGGTATTTGTTGGAAGAAAATGAAGATATTTTAGTTGTGCATGAAAAAGTATGGACGAATAAAAAAAATGCAGCAAATCGTTGTGTCTATGAGGTACTCTTGCGCTACTAACCACGTAATTCATGACGTAATATTTTTATACAGATGTTAAAATTCTTTCGAATTGATGTTTCAACTGATGATTTAACTAATAGAATAATACGACGTAGAAATCAAATACAGCAACACGTCAAAAGGGCCTTAGGTAGATATCTTTGCTCCTAGTGGCCCTTTAAGAGCCTAAGAAGGTTCCAGAGAGGTGGTCTTGCCACTCAATAAACAACCAAAATAAAAAAACTAAAAATTTATAAATAACCATACCCATTACCGTAAATCAGAAAATATTTAGACATTAGGCCATAAACTAATAAATAATATTAACTATAAATTTCAGATCCCTGGCTCAATTTCCTCTTCTGCCCTCCTGCTCCTTTTTCTTCATCACCCCAGATATCAGATAATGTACTTCTCTCCATTCTTTCTCTCCTCTCAACATTATGTTTTTTACAACATTATGTTTCCCTCTTTTATCCAGCCCGAAACTCATTCGCCTCTCGAGATCTCCCATCTCATTTGCCCTCTCTGGCAGTTAAAAATGTGGACAGGAGTGTCCGGTACCCCACAAACAGTACAGTCTGCCGAGGCAGATTTGCCTATTCTATTTGTGAAGGTGCCAAAAATACCATGTCCGGTCAGAAAATGCGTCAGGAAGTAGTCTAGTTTCCTGAACTTACCTTCCCAACACGGTTTCATATCGGCAATAAGCTCTTTCTTTCACCCTGCCTTTTCACTATCATTCGCCCATTCTATCTGCCACTCTACTATCGTTCTTTCTCTCTCATTCTCATCTATATTTACATCCATCCTCCTCGCATACATCCTCGCTCGCTCTTTACACAACAAAACGATCGGTATCACCGCTCCAATGACATATAGAGCCTCATTTGAAACTGTCCTATATGTGCTAGATACCCTGAGAACCAAAGTGCGGAAATTACTAGAAGAGCAAGACTAACATGGGCAGGATTTGGAAAACTTAGTTGGATACTTAATAACCGTAAAATACCACAATACTTGAGGAGCAAAGTCTTCAACCAATGCATCCTTCCTATCATGACATATGGATGTCAAACCTGGACCCTAACCAAGGCAAACATGAATAAACTAGCCACAACAGAAAGAACAATGGAAAGAGCGATGTTAGGTATATGACTGTCAGATGAAAAGAGGAACGACTGGGTAAGATCCAAAGCAAAAGTCGAGGACATAACAACAAAAATTGCCAAACTTAAATGGAGCTTCGCGGGCCACACTGCTAGACAGAAAGACTAACGTTGGAATACTACAATACAACATTGGAGATCTTACGAAAGTAAACGACCAAGAGGAAGACCACAGATGAGATGGGTTAATGACATTAAAAGAATAGCCGGAACAAATTGGAAATATGTTGTCCAGGATAGAGACCGATGGAAGGAGTTGGGAGAGGCCTATGTCCAAACATGGTCGACAGAAGGCTAAGAAGAAGAAGAGACCCTGAGCTTAGCGTATTTCGCAGTGTTCAGTACACTACACCACACAGAGGCAGCGTAGGTTACCACCGACTGGAAAACTCCATTTAGCACCGTTTTTTGGTGCTTCCTGGACCTCCAATGTTTGGCATCAGCCGTATCAACGCCTCCAGATTTCGGTTCGCCTTCTCTACTGTCTTTTGGATGTGTACTCCAAACCTTAGACCTTCCGACAACTAGACTCCCAGATTTTACCGGTGCAACCTCTACACCTTCCACTATCAAGCGAAGAGAGGATTTTTCCCGGGTCCCTTTAAGAACTAACACCTCAGTTTTCTCAGCCGCTAGCTGTAGATCGTTCTCTCTGATCCACCTACTAATGCGACGCAGGGCTGTGTTAGCCGCATTAACCATGTCAGTTTTCTGACTCGCCGTCGCAACCAGTCCGAGATCATGGGCATAAGCTACAAGAGTGCATCTCCTTGGCATTTGAAGCCTCAACACCCCGTCGTACAGGACATTTCACATGATGGGACCTAGTACTAAACCCTGCGAAACACCCTGCAACAAAATGGTGTCAAAAGCTGTCTGCGGCTTCTGTACACAATGTAGCTTCGTCTATTTTTAAAAAATTTTAAAATGTTTGTTTGTTCTTGTGTAGTGTAGTGTGATGTACCATTTTATGTCTATAACATCTTATCCTTGTCGAATAGACCGCAATTGACAAAATGGCCCTGAAGATGATCTAGGGATCGAAAGTACTTGGGCAAGATTAAATTAATTAAACTGTGCATATTTGTCTTTTATTTGATCAAAGTTAATTTACTATTACCTTTCTTAGCACCAGTGGACTATTTGTAGCGTTTTATATTTTAGATTTTTGTAATACATCCCTGGTTGTTTTTACCAAGAAAAACGATCGATAATATAGTAAGTTTTTTTAATGTTTTGACGAAGAAGTTAAATGTATGTTGTAAATATTTCAAGTTTTTTTTGACTAGATTTTTAAATAACGCTGGATATATGTTTTGTTTCTGTTACAAAGTCAGGTAGAACTATTCCGGTTAGAAAAATCAATATAATACGTGTTATTCCTTCATATTTATAATCCGACAAGCGAGAACTGCGATTAGAAACTACTTAATTGCGATTATAGGTATATAGTATAGGTACTTAAACGGTTATACACGATGTGAACTCCTAGCCGACTGCAATAGAAATGAGCAATCCCTTCCACTTTTCAATTTGTTCCAAGCGCAACCCGCCAGCTCTCGCTTGTCGGGTTATAAAAGTAGTTTATTTGAAAGTCACTTTGTAACATAGGTAGTTGAGGCCTGTTTTAAAAACAAGAATTTTAAGGTAAAGAAAGTCGCCCACTCCGATATTAGATTTAGCTCAGGAGGGGCATTATTTTGCGTTTTTGGTTTGAAATCGAACGAAGGTTAGGCAGGTTAAAAAAGAGCAACAAAGCAGGGAGGTGATATAAGGCAGCTCGAGTTGAAAGGACTTGGGCATTTTTAATAAACAGTCGGTAAATCTGTGTAATGGGTTAATTAACCAGACCTGTAAAAAGTGGACTCTTCGTAAATATGACGGATTACCATAGAGAAACCGCTAAAAGGATTTGTGCAGTATACCAGAACATGGTAAAATTTAAAAGCAGTACATAGGGTGTGCCACCAGCTTCGTCTGTCATCTGTTTGCCCCAACCTCGTTCCTGAGTATAGACACCGAACAATGGTTTCCTGTGTTCCAGTTAGAGAATTTGTCCAAGTTGCTTCCCCAGAGATCTAGCAAGTTTTTTTTAGTTGAGTGGCGAAATATGTAAATTTTAAGGTAATTCAATATATTAATTTTTCAAAGTAAAGACAGACATTTTTTTGGCTAAAGTATTATAAAAAAAAAGTATTATAAAGTATTTTTTTTATATAATAATTGCTTTCATAAAAAATTAAAAATTGTAATATGTGTGGTTATGCTGTTAATCTATTTTTTCTTTGTGATCAAAATTAAATGTGACACCTGACAGCTAGCTTTAATTTGTTTTTTTTTGTTGTGACAATTTTAATTTGACTATTATGTAGAAAAAATATTTCATACATAAGGTTAAATTTTATTATGTTTTCATTAACAAGGATCCTTAATTTTTAATAATCTAATTCGGCCATATCATAACCTAGGAACCATTTCAGAATTTTATAGCAATCTCGTTTGTTAACAAATAAGCACGTAAGTTTTTGCTAATTTTTGTATTATGTTTGTATAATATGTTCTTGTAAAATCTGTATTTTTGATAATTGTTTGTTTGAGACAAAAATAAACGTTTAATTTGTTTCTCTGATCTATTTTGAGTTTTATTTGAAAAAGATATGTTTTTTATGTTTTGATGTTCTATAATTATTTCCCTTGTTACAACTAGTGGTTGTAATAGGTATAATTAGGCACCTCAAGTGGCTCCCTATATTAAATTCCTTGAGGTGTTTCCTGTTTATTTTTATTTTTATTCCTTTATTTCTTCTTTTTTGTAGTTTCCCCAATCCAACCCCCATATCTTCAACTTATCCACGACCCAGCTCTCCAACAACCAACTGAGTGCCGTACGCACTAGTTCCGATTATTTTGTTTGCCCAATCTTGTCCCCCATGTTCTTACCCTGTGGTAAGCAAAATATTCGTTACACGTTTAGGTCAAAGTTTTCATCCCTAATTTTATGTCTTAGTAAGGACGATGTAACAATTTTAAGATTAAATTCCAATCAACTATAGAGACTTTCTATAAAGAAAATTTTCTTTTACTCATTTTTTTCTCTTTATTATTTCAGCTTCATCCGATCCTGACGTCTTCAAGCTCGGTCGTCTCGTAGGGGTTAGGTAAGTACAGAAATAACACTCGTTTTCATTCAATGTTTATTTCACATTGTTTACTCGTTCAATCCGATACGGGTCGGTTGGTTATCGTTGTTGTTATGTTTATATTCCATTTGCTCCTTCGACCAAACGACAGCCCACACGCATTTGTACACGACATTGGCGTAGGGTTACAATTTTTTACTCGAGTAAATATTCAAAATATATTTTGTCAAAAAAGCATACATTATATTGATTTATCCATAGATTAGATCATTTTTAGATTGAAGTAATTTATGTTACACTTTATTGATGTTCCTTATTTTCTAACAAACAAAATGTATAGAATAACGTAGTATTGGTATAAACTTTATGTCTATACATACCTGCTATTTTTTTTAAGCTTGGGCCGATGGCCGATTATAGATACATACTAGTGCTAAATATAGGCAAACAACAGTCCTATCCTCTCAGTGCTTATTTTCATGTACATTTTAGAAAATGTTGTTAAAAATTAATAATAATTTGCCAGGCTCATTTCGTTGTCGGTAACTTTTACCAGACTCTTTAACGCTTTTAAAAAAAATGTGATATTCAAGGAAATACAGTAACAATTCTCTTTATAATACTCTTTATAACGATTCCATATATAACGATAATTCCTCTATAACGATGAAAATAGTAAACGTTGGTTGGTTCGTCATAAGGACAAAGTATTAATTCTTTCTCTACACCGATATCGTTTTCTCTTTATAGCGATGACTTTTCAGCGTTCAATAGTCGATAACAAAGGAATGCAGTCACCCATTCTACTCATTCTTATCAAAGTGTTAAGTAACTCGCTTTTATTGTTCGGGCGTCGTGATAAACTGTAATCACACAGTTGTTGTCATCTATTGATGACTTTTCATTTCCAGTTTTCGAAAAAGCGTAAAGTGATCTCAGTGAAGAAAAAGTTATCGATAACTCGAGCAATAGAAAAAGGTGAAAAACAATAGGAGCTCGTTCGCCTTACGGGGCTGTCTCAGTCAACTATGGCTACGAAGATTTAGATCGCGCTATGCTTCAGTGGTTCCAGCAGCAGCGTATGAGGTCAGGGCCTGTGGTCAGGACAAAAGCTGAGTTTTTTGCCACTGAGCTTGGAATTAAGAATTTTAAGGTATCTGAGGGTTGGCTGAGTAAGTGAAAGCTGCGGCACTAGATCAACTACGAGCAAATCAGCGGAGAGGCTCGCGATGTTAACAAAAACGTAACTGATGATTGGCTAGAATTCGGGTGGTCTGGACTGAAGGCACGATATGCGTCACACGACGTTGCTTTCAAAACATAAAAAATCTACCGCTAACCTATAAAGCAAACAAGAGTGCGTGGATGACTTCAGAAATTTTTGAAGAAGCGATAAGAAAATGGGATATCGAGTTTAAAGGGAAAAAATTCTTCTGCTTGTAGAGAATTGTTCTGCTTATCCTATACTGTGCGACATTTAAAATATTGAACTTTGTTTTCTGCCGCCAAACACAACGAGTGTATTTCAGCCCATGGACCAAAGTGTCATCAATAGTTTGAAAAGCCATTACAGGAGAAAAATTTCGATGGAATTGGTTGAGAACAATAGCGATCTTAAACTAAACATTCTTGTCGCCATCCTAATGATTACTATCCTGGGACGAGGTGATAAGCAATATAATAAAACATTTCTTTAAACACGCAAGATGGCTGGAAGATCAAGAATTGATGAATGATGAAGATGACCTGCCATTAGATGTTTGGGCAAAACAGTTTGAACTTACTATCATCTACGAACCGAAAGAGTTTGAAACAGATTTTGAAAGAAGTTGATGAAAATATAGCTACAATATCTGGAGTTTCTGACGAGAAAATCTACAAACAGTTCCTGTAGAAGAAGAAAAAAACAGTGACCCGAACTGGAAGTAGAACCAGAACCAGCTCCGACCTCTCAGCAGGCATTGGATGCGGCAAAAGTACTGCATCGATTCTTTATCCACCAGGAAGACTATATGAGTGCTGTAGAAGATTCTATGCATCTTCAGAACAAGGTCAGGTCAGTTCTGTGGAAAGAGAAAAAACAGACCAAGGTGACAGACTTTTTTGGTAATGTAGGCTAAATATATTTTACAGTAAAATATTATTTTGTTATTGTACAGTTCACATGTCTTAATTGTAGTCATTTTTTTATACTGTATTGTATATATTATTCTTTAATAAATCTATGTGG